GTTCCCTTATCTTTCTTACTTTTTTTTAAATAATAAATAAATGTTTATTTATCTTTGAAAGAGAGGTAGAGACAGAGTGTGAGCCGGGGAGGGGCAGAGAGAGAGGAATCCGAAGCAGGCTCCAGGCTCCGAGCTGTTAGCACACAGCCCAACAAGGGGCTCAAATTCATGAACCACAAGATCATGACCTGAGCCGAGGTTGGACACTTAAATTAGTGAGCCATCCAGGCACCCCTACCTTCCTTATTTCTTAACTACAATTATCTCAAGCACAATCTCTTTTTTCTTAATGTTTATTGATTGATTGAAAGAGAGAGAAAGAGAACACACATGGGGGAGAGGGAGGGGCAGAGAGAGAGAAGAAGAGAGAGAATCCCAAGCAGGATCCGCACTGGCAGTCGAGAGCCTGATGTGGGTCTCGATCTCATGAACCATGAGATCATGAACTGAGCTGAAATCAAGAGTTGGATGCTTAGCCAACCGAGCCACCCAGGCATCCCCTTAGGCACTATCTCTAAGTATATTAAACCCCACATCAGATGGTGTTATCATTTTTGGTTCAGTCATCATGTATGATTTAAGAAACTCATGAGAAGGCTAGTCTATTATTTTTTAGGTATTCTAGGTTAGTCTTACCTTTCTGAAGTTTCAAGCTATCTTCTGTTATTATTTCTCTTCTGTTTGGAGAATTTTCTTTAGCCGTTCTTTAAGGGTAGATCCGCTAGTGACAGGTTCTCTTAGTGTTCTTTCAACTGACAATGCCATTGTTTCTTCTTCTTCCCTGAAGTATATTTTCTCCAGGTATAGGACTCATGATTGACAGCCCTATTCTTTCAGCATTTGAAAAATACACCACTTCCTTCTGGCCTCCACGGTTTCTGATGAGAAATCTGCCATCCTTCAAATTAGTGTTCCCTACAAATAATCCATCCCTTCTCCCTAGCTGCTTTCAAGATTTTTCTGTTCTTAATTTTTGAAAGTTTAATTATAATGTCTTGGCATGGATTTCTGTGGGTTCCTCCTAGGGCTTCACTCAGCTTCTTGAATCTGTAAGTTTATGTCTTTTGCCAAAAGGGAGAAACTCTCAGCAGTTATTTCTTCAAACCCAGGTGACTTATAAGCACATTTTATATTTGAGAAGCTTTGCTCTAGAGTGGGTTTCAGGGGTTAAAGAACCCCTCAAATTGCATACAAGATGCTGTGAATGTCCATGTTTCTTAGGAGAATGTCTGCAGCTTTCACTAGATTCTCAAGAGTCCATGACACTCGCCATAAATTTTACAAAAGGATTTGTTTATAGTCATATTGAGTAAATTTTGGTCTTCTTGGTTAAAAACAATAAAACCTAGTTAGTATCATTTCTTTCCTTCTGTCACATCTGTTGAATTCCTGCATCTCCAAGATTTTCCCAAAAATTTTGGAAAATATGATCACTTAGGTGAATATTTTCTGAGTGCCTAATATATGCCAGCCAATTTTTATTTCATTTCCCCCCTAATCAGTGAGAAAAGGAAGAGTTAAAAAAAATTAAAGCCATTTTTAGCTTATGAAAAGTTCCCAGCAACTAATAATTCAGAGTAAATTTTGCGGCTTTCATACCTTATGACTTTACCCTTTAAAATCTATCCCTTACTACTCTGAGCTGGATAGGACAGTGATCAAATTACATCCTGAACATATAACTTCATAGACTAAAAACACGGCATTATGCAGTGGACTCATTTATCATTGGGTTCACTTGGGTCCACTTCATACATTTGGTAGCCAAGTGCTCATAGTTTCCCCAAGCAGACTTGCCCCTGGACAGTTGCACAAGCAGGTTCCTCTGCCTGGTACACACTCACCCCCTTTGCCACCCACTTTCCAGAACTAACTTCTGCTTCTCTTTAGGAACTCAGTTTGAGAAGCACCACCCCTGAGAAGCCTTTATTCTCTTCCAAGCACTGAGGCAGGTGTGCCTCCAATGTGACCCCTGCTTGCCAGAGGTCACACTGTGTGCTGATGACCTAACTTTCACTCCCACTAGACTGTGTGACCCTTGAAATCTGGGACTGGGTCTTAGTTGCTGTTGTGCCCCCAGAACTTAAATTAATGTAACCAGACATGTACTCAAGTGCTGCTTCCACTTAGAGTTCACTACCACCAGCTGTCTGGCTGATCCTTTCCTCCCTTTCTTCATTAATGTCAGAAGTATCTGTTGAACTCCTTCATGTACAGGTGTGGCAACCAGATGTTCAGCCCTTTATCAGCAGGTTTAATCTTTCCTGAATTTCCACAGCATTTATTAATTCACTTTAGACTTTTTCCAAGGATCAGTATATAAAAGTTTTGGCCTTCTTTGGCTAGAATACCTGTCTCCCCATTTGGGGGCAATATGGACAACACTGATCTCTGCCATTTTTACTTCCTTCTGGATCTTATAAATGCCCTAATATTATGTTCCCATTTACAGATCTGTATTTTCTATCAGGCTATGAGCTCCTTGGGGGGCAAGGACTCTGTCTTATTTATCCCACAGTCTCTAAGGACTGGTGCATGGTGGGATTCCAGAAACATTTGTGGAATGAAATGAGATGCTAGATCATCACACTATACTATTCCTTATAATCAGCACATGCACTTCCTTATCTTCTCCACATCTTTACTTCCTATTTGTCTTTTCCATTCTAAGCCACTGTGAACCCTTTTGGGAAAGGAGAAATGGGTAGATTAATACAACACATTTTAAAGTAATTTTTTTACTCCCTAGGTACTATCTTGGTCGCCGGATGTTTATTGTTATCTCTGATCCAGACATGATCGAGCAGGTGTTGGTTGAGAACTTCCATAACTTTACCAACAGAATGGTATGTGGTTTTCTTTCTGCATATGGATGAATGGAGAATCATTCTAGGATTTAACGACTGTGCATCACATCTAACAGGGATGTGATTGGGCCTCTTATCGCACTTAAATCAGTTAGACTCAAAACAGCTCTCCAATGAATTCCAGTTTTCAAAAGAGACATACAGGACTGGTACAAAAGAATGGCATTTGCATTTAAGAAATGCTTCCAGAAAGCTACAGCCCAAGAGAAGTTCTGGTTAATAAAAATGCTAAAACCAGAAGGGTTTTTTTTTTTAAGCTTTGCTCAGAGCTAGAGGAATCCAGAGGGCACAGGTCAAGTGACTGAGGAAGACAGAGTAAGGTTAATAAATATCAGAGGCAAAGCAAAATTTCAAGCCTCTCGTGCTTACACCTTTCCCAGAGCATATAAAAGTCATAAGGCCGGAAAGGGGAGACAAGCAACATTATAAGGGAAATTTGTTCCCTCATAGCAGGAGAAGCCCTGTAAGAGGGTTCCCTGGTATCAGTTCAACTCAATCCACTAAAGAATGCACACATTCCATCTTTTTTAGAAAGCATATATCCTACTTTTTATCTTTGTTGAGAATTCCCAAAGAATGAAAGAAGTGACGAGGGTGGCAGAGGTCAGTGTTGTCCCTATTTTCCAAAGATGGGGATATTAGAGTTCTAGCAGAGACCAAGAAACTTTATGTTGATTCTTGGAAATATTGTCAAGTGAATTGATAAATACTTGCTTGTGAGAATTCAGAGGCTCACGATCTTTTTTTTGGGGGGGGGGCAAATTAAACTCAACTTCCATTCTTACAGGAATAGTAGGTACTGTGTTCACTGTTGGTTATTTGGCAAACTTCTGCACACCCACTGTATTCCAGGCACTGTCTAGGTTCTGATTATAAATAGACAGAAGATCTATTCTTGCCCTGAAGGAGCTCATAGTCTAGTGCCAATGGCAGACAGGCAAAGAGACTAGTACAATCTTGTATGGTAAGTGCCACTGTAGTGGGAACCTCTGTGCCATCCAGGATGGGGGAAGAGCGTTAAAGATAGTAGCATAGCTCCCTGTGTTCTGTGCTGGTGGAGCTGCCCAGAGTGGTTTTTTCTCATTAAATTTCATGAGAACTTATGAGTTTGGTACAACTATCATCTCTCTTTTTCAGACAAGGAAACCAAGACCCAGAGGGGTTAAGTGACAATCCTGGTCACATGCCTAACAGGAACAGGGATTCATATGCCACCTCCCAACTCAAGTCCTTACTGCCATCTCTATTAATAGTTGCCTTGGGTGACATTTCCAGATTGTTAAGGTTTCACTGAGTAGTTGGTTGCTCACCCCAAAGCAGCTCATCTTCCAGCCCCAGGGTGCTGTGTCCAATTGCAGACACCATGTGGCCACTAGAAGGAGGTGACCGCCTGGCCTGCTAACGCCATCACCTCAGGTGCATTTGAAGGAAATGCAGAAGTTTAACTGCTGCCTCTAGATGCTCCTCCCCAAATGTGATGTTGCCACCCTGCTGTGCAAAGTCCCTAAAGTTCTTCTGTGCTGCTGGGATCTTAGGAATGGAGTCTGACAGTTAAATGCAGCTGTAGAATGCTGCTAGGCCAGACTCAGTAAGGAGTGTTGATTAAAGAAGCAGGGGAAGGGGCCGCTGGGTGGCTCAGTCAGTTAAACTTCCAACTTCAGCTCAGGTGATGATCTCCCAGTCTGTGAGTTCAAGCCCCTCATTGGGGTCTGTGTGGACAGCTCAGAGCCTGGAGCCTGCTTCAGATTCTGTGTCTCCCTCTCTTTGTCCCTCCTCCGCTTGTGCGTACGCTCTCTTGCTCTCTCTCAAAAGTAAATAAACATTAAAAATTAAAAAAAAAAAAGGAAGAAGCAGGGGAAGCCAGTGAGTCACCGGACCCGGGCCCCCAAGCTGCATCCCATGCAGGTAAGGAAGACACTCATCGAGCCTGCCTGACCATCCCCCTCCCCCACCCAAGCAGGGATGTGCGATGTGGCAGCTGTGTGTCTCTGTATAGCTTCATGTGACACTCAGGATGTCACCAGGGCATGAAACCCCAGGAGCTGACCTGGAAGAGGGCCGTGCTCTCGCTGATGTGCCAGGGGCAGGCATATACCCAGCACACAAGTTCAAGCAGGGGGCACAAAATAAAGTTGCCTCAGCTTCGGCCAGTTTCTCTTCCAAACTCATGGTCTGTCCTCCCTTTTTCCATCCCCCAGATTAATTTTTGTCTACTTCCCAGACCAGGATCTGTGAAATATGGTTCCATTTTCCTTCTTCCACTCAACACAGTGCCCACGGAATGAGGTTCAAGCCCCCCAGGTGAGACTGAAGGGCCTCTGTAATTTGGATCGATTATGTAAGCTCCAACCTCACGTCTCCCTGCTTCCCAAGACAGGCTGTTGCTCCAGCTGGACCGACCCCTCCACTCTCTCTGTAAACTGCTCTAGAAAGTCCCGCCCCTGTGCCTTTGCTTGTGTTGAGGCACTTGCTAGAACCGGAGGTGGTGTAACAGTGGGTCTTGGGTTTACCAGCAATGTAAGCTGGAGTAAATCATTTAACCTCTTTAAGCCTCTCATTCTGTCTTTGGGAAATGAGGAGGTGATCTACCTACCTGGGCTGCTGTGAGGCTAAATGAGATCACACAGACATGCCCCACCTATGCAGGTGAGACAAGCACTTGGCATGCATTAGCTACCAAATCAATGGGAAGATCCTCCCCTTTCCTTACAGCCACTCAACCCTAGCTCTTCTTCCAGGCTCTCCTCAAATTCTGCCTCCTCCAAGAAGCCTCCCTGCTTCAATCCACATTTACCTTTCCCCTTGTCTGAATACTCACATCATCTGTCATCAGCACATCATCACTGACCCCATTGTGCCTTCTGCTATTTACAACTAAATAAAGGTGTGGCTTTCATGCGAACTCAACTCTTAGGTCCTTCAGGGAGTAATCCTTCTCTTTAACACCCCATGGCCCACATACATGAGGACTATTCAGTTCCAACTGAAGTAAACCTCCATCACCGTAACATTGTCCCCAGAAGAACCAGGTATTACCTGAACCTGGAGATTCAATACACACTTCCTCTTCTAGATCATTCCTAAACATATAAAAAGACCCATCAAAGATTATTAGATCTCTAGGAAACCCCAATGTTTATAGTTTACCATCTGGGAATGTATTCACTTATCTTTAGCTTTGTTGATGGTCTTTAAGCCAATTCCATATTCATGATAAAACAATCCTTAGTGACTCAATTTTTTAAAAACCATCTTTAGAGTGGGATTTTCTCACAGGTTTTTGAAAGTCAAATTAAATCGGGTTCTGTGGTTCCCTCTTATCCATATGCTTATTTATCTGCTCAAAGAACTCAAGGAGATTAGTGAGGCATGCTTTCTTCATACCGACACCATGCTGCCTTCCCTCTAATAAGCCATGTTTACTTAAGTGTTCAGCAATTTGGCTTTTATTATACATTCATTCAGTAAACATTAAACGCTTACTCCATGCAAGCTTCTACCAAATGGTCCCTTGTGATACAGAAAATACCTCAGCATATTAGTTTGATCCATTAAGTGAGAAGGAACTTCGATAATGCATGCTTTCCTTTTTTGACTGTGACAGCCCATCTCTGCTCACAAATGTGGGCTTGACTTACGTGTGTCCCAGAAGAGCCTGGCGGAGAATGGCTGTGATGTGGGAAGCTGGGTCTGGCCCAAAGATTTGACTGATGGAGCGCACTGACTGGAGCTGGTGTGACATCACAGAGAACTCTCTGACACATATCAGCACGGAGCAATTATTTGAAGTCGGAATTGATGAATGAAATATTTTTTTTCTAACTCAAGAACATTGGGATGAAGAGACGATGAGTCAGACCCAGGGTGGCAGATCTCATATCAACGCTTTCCCACTCACATTGCTGGAGGTCCTCAGTTCCGGGCAGGGTCTCCACGGCATCTCGCCCACTTTCCAGATGGAGTCCTCTGGCCCCTATCAGGGCACTAAGTGCTTCCTGAAGTGCCTTCATGATGGTACCACCACAGTTTACCATTAGACCCAAATCAATCTTCTTAGCATTTTTTTTAATTAAAAAATTTTTTTAATGTTTGTTTATTTATTTATTTATTTTTGAGAGAGAGAAAGACAGAGTGTAAACAGGGGAGGGGCAGAGAGAGAGAGAGAGAGAGAGAGAGAGAGAGAGAGACAGAATCCAAAGCAGGCTCCTGTCTCTGAGCTGTCAGCACAGGGCCCGACGTGGGGCTCAAACCCACAAGCTGTGAGATCACGACCTGAGCCAAAGTCAGATGCTTAACTTACTAAGCCACCCAGGCACCCCCTTCTTAGCATTTATGGAACCTCATATGTCTCAGCACCTCAGGACCCAGCTTTTTTATTTAGATATCTTTAATTAGCTCTTCTTTGCTAGCGGGTACTCCATGAAGCCATGCGCGCAGCTTTTATTTTTAAAGATCTGTGGGAAAATGGAGCTGGGTTCACATGACTGGGCAGAAATAGTCATAACCAGCAGGGGAACTTCTTATTCCTGGCCTCTCCTCAGAGCCCAGGGTTGGGGAAGCTGTAGGAAGGTTGATAAGACGTAGGGTGGTCTGTGGTCTATGTTACATCGGTCTAGTTGGATGCGGGCATGGAAACAACATGTTCAGTCACTAAACCTGCTGCCAGGAGCTCTGTGTTCTGGACCAAAATGGCAGCATGGTCCACGGGGTGGGCTGTAGGCTGCCCATCCCTAGTTCTACCCCCGGCATGTGGAGCGGAGGTGGTGGTATGTGTGTAGGGTGTGGGTACCAACCCTCACGTCCTCACAGGCAACACTGGGGGGCCCCCTGTCCAGCGTAGGTCCAGACACAGCACTGACTCACTAGAGTCGCACCTATAGCCATGTAATGGATTTGGTGAGTGGTTTTATCCAGAACCATCAAGACCCAAGGGCCTGGCTGCCCCAGGTGCCGCCTCTCACCACATACAACATGGGAAT